AGGATAAGGATGACGGTGAAGTGGTCCATCTCGCTCGGTGTACGCGCTAAAACGCGGGGTAGCGGACACGAGCCGGTAACGCTGTTTGCGGCATCGCGTAGACCACATGATGGACCTCCTTACCCATACCTTTTTCAGTAATTTGATTCTAATTTTAATTTTGATTTGAATACAATTAGCGATAGCTTAAAGACCTGTTGGTGAGGTTAACATCGACTAGAAATGTTTACCATTGCTTGGTCACTTAGCTGAACACTAGAAATTTCCACTTCTACTGTAACCGCCCTTTTTGATCTGGCGTTCCGCTCTTATTTAGTTGGTACCTAAAAATTGAAGAAGGTACCTTTCTTCGACGTCCGTGATGATGGTGATGGCCATCTTCACCAGGCAGTGAAGGGCAGTCTTTTGGAGGGGTGATACCGTCACAACCACCGTCATACTTTAGGCACAGCGTTATCTGAAAATTCGTTGGCAAAAATATGAAAAACACAGGGAGTGGCCGGGATTAAGTATGTACTGTTTTTGCTAGGGCCCCCGAGCAAGGTCAACCGTCCGTTCCCACTATTCGGACGAAGGGTCGCATTTGTGATTTGCGAGGGTAGCATTTTGGGAGTGGACAATCCAGGTTAACTACCACCTTTGTGAAAAGTTTGAGGGAGGACGAAAGGGTGTTGTGTATGAAGGGTTTCGCGATGAGTTTGGCGAAAGTTTACGGAAGTTTCATGAAGAAAGGGTGAAAAATCTACAAAATTTCTGGATTTGTCGCCTCATATACCAATTTACCCCCCCCCCTTGCCCCTATACCCTGCTCTACGGAGTGTTCTGGAGGAAAAAGTGGGTGGAGTTGGGTGTATTGCCTGATGTCAAAATTAAATAGTATAGAGACAGCCATTATGGCGAGGGTGGTGATTAGTTTAGGGAGGTGGGACAGCTCCTAAGATTGATGGTGGTGGTGGGGAGGGTCCATCAAGACCCCCGTGAAAAGGAAGGGGTCGCAAAATTCCTTGGAGGATTGCGAACGCGACGACTGACCCTGCCCTCCAATTCTGCCATTGATCATAACTCGCACCTGACACTGGAATTGCAAAACTGGACGGTCAGCGTATTTGAAGACGTGGTAGGCTTTGGTCGCGAGACGAAGTGAACTGTCATACTCTGGCGTCGATAAGAGGACAGCGTCGAGACCACACCTGAAAAGTCATTAAAAAATGAAAGAAATGGAACAACTTTCCGGCATGACTCAAACTGCTGACCCTTTTGGTCCGAGTATATCGACTCGATCGCCGAATCCATTATCCACATAGCACGAGTGAACCAGCATTCCAAACGTGTCCTTTTTCTCAACTTCTATGCACTCCCAACTAAAAAAAATAGGGGAATTTGAAGGTTGACAAGAGGAAGGAAAAGGCATAACGTTGGTGGCTGTCGGACTCCACAAAAACCTCACCGATGAAAAACGCTTTCTCCAAGTGTCGCATAACGGACGATTTCGCCATTTGGGCTGCCTTTTCTGAGAGTGTACGAGCATTGCGGCATTTGATACACTTTTCTCACGGAACTGAGTGGTAATCATACTGAAATCGAACGGATGCATTTTGATTTGAAAAATCGACAAAATTTAACGCTGATTAATACTTTGCGGGTTGCGCCACGCGTTCTACTTTCACTCAAGCTCGTAAGTGCCGTACTGGCTCACGCAAGGACATGCTGAAGTCAGCTTACATGCAAATTTTCGACCCCATAGAAAAGTTTGGTACTAACTGATCGATCACGAGGAGGCGCTAGGGAGAGGGAGCAGCATAAGGGGGTGTGCCTAGCCCAAGCTTGGTGGGATAGCCTTCGTAAACGGCAATAGGTTTTACAAAGCCAGCGATTGGCGATTTATCTTAGCACTCGTCCGGCCCCGCCCTTCCTTATTCAAGAGAATTCTTGTTCAGAGCTTTCGACGGTTTTCTTTGTTTCTTTTTTCATTTTTACTCACGGCATCACAGCTACATTATCGACCACTGTGACCCCACAAATTCGATTTGGGGGTGCTTTGAGGCGGTCTTGAGCATTAAACCCAGATGGTGCACGTGCTAAGAGGTACCACTATAACCACTTCTTTGTAACTACACTAGCAGTCTCATTCGAAAAGCACTCACCTGACGGATAGTGGTACGGTGACTCTTTTGTCAGCCTCCATATAGAAGCACTGAATTTTCACCATTTGATCGACCTTGGTCATAAATCTGAAATTACGCTAATTTTTATAATAACAATGCGAGCGAAGAAGAATAGATAGCAAACCCCCACTTTCGTGCTCAAGTGGAAGTATCCAGTCCCCTCCCCCCACTCATTCCCAAGATCGTGAGCGGCCCTTTCACGGTTTTCAAGAATGCGAAGTTAAAAAAAAACTTTTCAAATGAAGGCTTGTTTTAATAGATTATTTGATCGTATTTTCTGTTGGTTTTTGCCTATGGTCTCGCTTGCTTCTGAG